GAGTACCCGGGGAGAACCCACGCAAACACGGGGAGAACATGCAAACTCCACACAGAAAGACCCCTGATGGTGGAATTGAACTCGGGACCTTCTTGCTGTGCAGCAACAGTGCTAACAACCGTGCTTTAGAATTTCTAATGAACCCTTATCTTAACAGCATACACTCGCCAGCAGCTGCTGGTATTTGGTTGGATTTTGCCTGAAAGGTGTTGGAGGTGCTGGAGAAAAAGAGATTTTGGTCCATATTGATTTGATAGCATGTTAGCTGCACATCCATGATGTGAATCTCCTGTTCTACCACATCCCAAATTTGCTACTATCCTGATATCACAGCAGAAATCAAGACTGCTGAGACCAGGCCAGGCTAATTTTCTGTTGTCTAGTTTCTGGTGAGCCCATGTTAGCTGACAGGATCCAGTGTGGTTTCCTGCTTCTCTGACCCATCCGGTTCAGCGTACTGTGCGTTCAGAGATGCTCTTCTACAAGTAGTTATTTAAGTTATTGTTACCTGTTCATATGATGAAGGAAATGTGAGTACAGAAAGTCAGTATTTTACAAAAAAAATCTGCTAATACTTATTAACTTAAAATTTCGAGTAAATATCATTTGTTTTATATCACAGTAAAAACAGATCAGGTCATTTTGATATAAACAGCTGGATTACCAGCTGGAAACCAGCTTCATTATTAAAACTTCAGCTGGGTTTTTCTTCGTTCATCTCTCTGTAGAAAAATAGACCAGTGACTCATCATGACCTGTGGAAAAAAAATTAATGGATGTAAATCCACTTGAATTTTTAGCATCATTTATATGTAAGGAAATGCATGATTTTGTGCCTGATTTCATCTTGAAAGAAATGATACATTCATGCAAAACCTCATGAAGATGAAATAATGCATGACCTCATTCATGCCTCAATGCATGAACAATGCAAAACCTAATGTGGTCACAAGGGCTAGATGTTAGGACGATTCCTGATGTCATTAAAACATTGAAATGATATTTTTAGCTTGAACATCCATGGAGCAGTCTTAGAGGAGTCATGTTTCTCCTCCACTGATTGGACTGTGAGACCAGCAGCACTGACACAGTCAGTCCCCGGGGTGCTCCTCGGGGGTTCTGAGTTCAGAGCAAAGTTTCTAGTTCAGAAATGTCAGCACGGCTCCAAACCGAGTCAAAGTCCAATTGGCAATCTCTTGAGTATTTTAATGATTAATGGCATAGTCCTCTGAATGTATCATGTAGCTGGAATATTGATTCTGCACAGCGCAATGCAAATTAATTTATTCTTTTTGCTTCTTCGGGCTTTTACGTGTGTGTAGCTTTGCGTAGATATCATCCCTTCTTTGCACGCACCTCTATGCCCTCTTGTTGTGTTTCAGCAGCTGTTTTTCTCTCAGGATTATGTTGTTATTGCATTATTAACTTGGCCTATTACTGTTGGCTTGACACTGACATCCAATACTTGCTTGTTTTTCTGAACACTTTTTCTCTTTAACTCATTCCAAGTTTTTTCCTTTGGAAAAAAAAACATAAAGGACTTTTTTATAGCAACAAAGAGCTGCTCAGGGTAAACGACAGTAATGCTACTTTTACTGTTTCATTCATTCAATTCAATTTTATTTATATCGCGCCAAATCACAACAGTCGCCTCAAGGCGCTTTAATGTACAGTAGATTGTACAACAATAATATTCAAAAGTTTGCATTTGACTACAGAAAAGCAGTCAAATGCAAACTTATCTTTTTTAAACAGTCATGTCAGAACATCAATAACGTAGGCTCTATGTAAAAGATGGACATAGACAGCATGGTTTGTAAAGCGATGATGGCTATTATCTTCAAACCTTGGGAAGATTCAGCGTTACATTTTTTCCACCATGTTAATCTAAAGAAATTCAGTTACCTTCTTTTTAAGTTTTCAGGACTACTGTGACTTGGATGATTGCGAATCTACACAGACATGCTGCCACCATGTTTTTGTTTTTGGAACCAGAAGGGACTTATCAACCAATACTAGCAATCAGGTGCAACACACTGATGCATATACATGATAATTAGCTCTAAGTAACAGAATAGTTAAAGACTAGAATGTCACACTCAGAGCCTGGTTCTGCCGGAGGTTTCTTCCTGTTAAAAGGGAGTTTTTCCTTCCCACTGTTGCCAAAGTGCTTGCTCATAGGGGGTCATACGATTGTTGGTTTTTCTCTGTATGTATTATTGTAGGGTCTACCTTACAGTATAAAGCACCTTGAGGCGACTGTTGTTGTGATTTGGCGCTATATAAATAAAATTGAATTTAACTGGATTTCTGTCTTCTCTGTTAGTACAATTAATCAAACCCCATTTTCTATTATTTTTAAAATTGCCTTTAAACATCTTTATTTTTGCTGTAAATTTGTATTTTTATTTGGACATTGCTTCCAGCTCTGAAAAAGCCAGTGCCTTAAATCTGCATTCTTCCTGCTGGCCAGCAGGGGGCGACTGTGGTTACACAGTCGTAGTTGTAGTGATACCAACATACATTTAATTCTATTAGCCAATCAGCAATACAGCAGCTACTATGACAAATATACTAATGAACAATACAGACGTCTGTGGATGATAGCAGCAGGTCTGAGACACGTACTCAGTTCGGGGCTAAGAGTCCATAACTGAGTATTGTTTTTAAAACAAATCTTAAAAACTGAAGTTTATCGTTTATTGTTTACACCCTTCTCTCAGAGGTTTGTAGAAATCCCAGGGAAGCAGATGCAGCTTCAGGTCATTTGAAACTCTCTTAAATTAGGCTGATTTTGCCATTTTTTTCTTGGCAGATCTTTTCAAGTTCTTTATATTAGATTGGAAGAATCTGTTAGCTGCCGTTAGAGCTCTACAGAAATGCTTTAATCTGTTTTTATTTTTCTATGATACAGCAGAGGAGCTGCTGAGCATTCTTGGGAATTAGACCCTCCTCTGCCTTTTTCACCTGAGGTGATACTCTGGCTTCCTGCGAACTTAAAGCTGGGTGCTCGATCCGCTCTGTATCTGTCGATGAATAATGGAATGGGTTCCTGATCTTGCCCTCTGATGTTCTGAGGGGTTGAGTACCAGGCTGTAGTAGCAGCACCATGCTGTTAGTTTGCAGACCTCCACCCTGTAGGGAGACTCAGTCCAACCACTGTAGTGTCGTCTGGAGGCTTAATAATGGTGTTTTGCTGTGGCTGGCTGAAACGCGAATGTTGAGTACCTGGAGTTCTGCCCGAAGCGTTCAATTTTTTTCTCATCAGACCAGACCTTTTGTTTCATCAGACTTTTTTTTCTTGTGCTTTCAGAGTCCTTTAAATGCAGTCTGGCAAACTTTAGGCGAGCTGTCGTGTGTCTTTTACTCAGGAGTGGCTTCCATCTAGCCACTCTACTCTAAGTGTCTGATTGAAGGACTGCTACTGAGTCAGTTACTTTTGGCCGAACAACCAACTCTCGGAAAAGTCCTGGTGGTTCCAAATTCCCTTTTCTCTGAAACACTCCAGCACTCCTCAGATCTACTTCTTTCCCCTTTTTAAAAAAATCACAGATGAGTTTCCATGAATTTATGGCTTGGCGCTTGTTTTGACATCCACTGTGAATTGTGGGGTGTTAGATACACAGATGTGGGCCTTTGACAACTAAGTGCAATCTATTCAATTTGCCTCAGGAGGACTCTGGTTTTATCCTTGTCAAATGAAATGAGTTACTATTATACAGATGCATTGCTAGCCATAAAAATCCACCTGGACATGAAGTCCTTTACTCGAATCAGAGTTTGGGGTTTTATTGTGTATTAAATTTGCTACACTGTCTTATATGAACTAATTAACCCTGTAAAGCCGGTCGGAGCGGGCACGCTCCGTTTTGCGTAACTATTTTTAAATCCTGGTAGCTCTGCAACCACGTCAGCTAGCGCAATAATTTTTTTTTGCATATGAAACCGGAGGAGTTGTACTTACATCTTATGCCATCAGCTTGTCCTCGGTCACAGTTTCCTTCCACATATAGCTTTGCAAAAACTGCATAAAAAGCACTTGCAGCAACAAAAACATAATATTCCAGAAACACGCTTTGCCGATCCGATCAGCTGTTTGTAACACTTCCTACGTTGGAATAGACGTCAGCACGAACTTTCGCATGTCCGCCATGACCTGCCCGAAACCGGAAGTGACGTCGTTTTTGCGGAAATGTAGTTTTTTACCATCAGGGCCTCATGAGCCTATACTGGTGTTTTTAAAAGTTATCTTTGACTTTATGACTTTGTGTCGTTTCTGGGATGCTTAGGTCTCATATTGCACTGCTGGAAATAGTTTATTTTGATGCATATGCTGTTATTTTGCAAATTTGCACTATAATATTTATTTTCGTTTTTCCTGCAGTATATAAAAATTGGTGTATTTCAAAAATAAAACTATGAAGACGCTCAAAATAAATTTCCTGTGGTAGGAAACTATTTTGTGCAACTTTTTTGTATTTACAGTTTTGAGGGATAAGCCTCTTAAATTTCTCTAACTAGAAATATGTTAAAAAAACAAAAACGATTTTCAATTTGTTTGTAGTTTATTGCACTTTTTTGCAATTTATGTAATTACTATGCACTTAATGCAGACATATTATTAAAATTTGGGCTATAATGGTTGTATTGATGTATAGCAACTTGAAATGCTCCCAAAAATGGCTCCACAGCATGTAAAAATATGATATAAGCTCTGGCGGACTTGGTTCTATGGTAGGTCTTAAAGGGTTAATACTTCCATTACCATGCTGCTGCATGGTAAATGTACAAATTGTATTACTTTTTATTAGAATACCTATTTTTAATATTCTCTGAATATTTTCAGTATGTTTTAGGCTTAGAAGTGATACCATGCACATGCTAAAAATAAGTGTTTATTATAAAATGAACATATAGTCTGAAAGTACACAAAGTATGTCCCAAAGGTCAAGAGTTCCTCTTTAAACTCCAGTGGCTATTTTTTAGCATTGAATGTGATATTTTTGTATTATGGTGAATCTGTTCATCATTGTCAGGTGGTGTTATTGTCACAGATGAGCGGTTCTCAGACTGTGGTGTGGGCCCCAGTGCTGGGTCGTGGAGTTTTTTGATGTTTAGGGAAAATTAATAAGCCAGAATTTAGTGGTGCAGTCACACTCATGTTTATTTAAGCAACATTCAGTGTTGATTATTGAGTAAAACTTCAGATTCTGAGGTGGGGAAAGCCAGAAAAGGTTGGAGAACCGGTTTCATAAATATTTATTTTGTTTTCACACACAGAGCCAATCCATGTTCACAGCATGCCACAAAAATACATTCTTCAATCCACGTCATAACTCAAACTGAACTCTTTACTGGGCCACAGCAGATCGGTTCTAGGACATTTGCAGCAGTATAAGGGGGCAGATGGTTTTACGCTGGGAGGTTGCTCCTGCTCCAGTGCACTAGTTTCATCATGTGTGGATAAAATAGCAACATCAAGACCAAATGTATGCTTACAAAAAAATAGATAAATAATCAGACAATACTGCTCAATGCTCAAAAGCCAAATAGTTATTTTGTCTTAAATAATAAACCAATCTATCGTCTAAGTTCCCCACACAGCAGTGGTCTGACAGCACAGATGCAGACTCTCTTAATCTTCCCTAAACACAGCATGGACTGCTTTTTATTGAACGCACCACCAGATATGTCTTTATATGCCATAGAATATCCCACTGAAATAGCACGAGCACCTACTTAAATCATGTAGAGATGGATTTTCCGATCCATCTAAATGATGTAAATTAAGGCTAATTAGTGTGACAGAGACGTTCTTCGCTGCACTGTTTCATGTATGCATTGGCAGAGCTTGCAGTCTGTGCTGAAGGTGCGTGTTGATGACCCTTTGTCTTACCACCTCCTCACGCAGGAACACTGAGTATTATTCAGCTTCATGTAAATACATATTGAAACTCAAAGCCACAAACAAACACACACTCGCAAAAACCTCACAATAATCTACAGTTTGATTTACTATATTTAGATGAGGCGTTTTATTTAGAGACCATAACACCAAATGTGCCCTCACAGATAAATCATCACAGTCACAAGATAATTGTTTTGGGGGGGGGTCATCCATATTAGTTTATTTGTTGTCTTGACTGTGTTTTAGGGATCTTTGCAGCAAATTCCATGTGCACGCATTTGGGCGTAGTCTAAGGAGCTTGGAAAGAAAAGCATCTGGACTTCTTTAGGTTTCTTGAAGACATTTCATCCAAGAAGCTTCTTCAGTTCTAAGTACTCTTGGTGGAGAGTCCCAAATTTTAAGTCTCCCAGAGGGCCATGGACCCCCTATTGATCCTCTGCCTAATCACACAAACCAAGGTGTGAAAACGGGTATGGGCCATAGTCAGCCAAGGTTTCGGGTGAACCCATTGTGAAACCTAGCCTCACCCTATCTATCATGTGACTTGCTAAGGTTATAAATGGCCCAGGATGTGAGTGAGCGTGAAGGCGTCTGGGAAGGGACCTCAAAACTGGATTATAGATGGCAGACAATTGGATGTCCCGGATGACTGAGAACCTACACAGACACATTTGGGCATACTTGACTTTTGAGTAGTGACCAGCTGGAAAAGTTCGGCACCAAACAATCAACTTCATTTATGCTTGCAGTAACATTTTAGGTCTACAACTTTTGGAGAAAGCCATCGAACAAAAACAAGCTGTTTAGGTCATCAGCTGATGTCAGATAAAAATGCCTTAAATGGCATTTAAATGCATTTTCACACATATACTTTAATTTCTCTGTTCCAAAATCAGTTGATGGTTTGGTTTCTTTTCACTCTGAGCAAACTTCAATCAAACCAGCATGCGTCACTACAGAATGCTTATTAGCCAGATGTATCTGGGACAGGACCAAGAAATTGACAGCATTTCTAGCACACAATGGCAGATGGTGTAAGCTGTGGTTTGAGGAAGGAGTCAGAGGGGACTGGTGCAGCTCCAGAACCAGACAGAACACCGTGTACTAATGGGAGGTGAATGATTTGAAAGAGGGAGCGAGGTTGGGGCATGTAAATTAGAACAAACAAGCTTGTAGTGCAGTGGGGTCATATATACAATGTGAACTGGAAGGGCAGTCTATGAGGCTCATGGAATTCAGATATGGAGAGTGGGCAATGAACCCTGGACGCTGTGGAGGATTCATGGTTTCAGTCTTAGGTCTTTGTTTCCCCCGCTGTAAAGAACATGTCAGGCTAGTTCTCCCATCATTCAGTCCTTGTTCCTGCCTTACACCTGGAGCCGGTCCCTGGAAGCTGGAAACAGAGGATGAGATTCCCTGCAGAGATCAATAAATAAAAAAATAACAATAATAATCAATAAAAATTTATTATTGTGATTTACCTGCAACTCTAATCTTTGACTGGTTAGATGCATGTGTAACCCTCATTTTTCAATATCACGGTTAACAGCACATTTCCATGTAGACTTTAGTGCTAGTTTGTTTACCTATTCTTGTTTGCCTGCCGGGGCTCAGCCTGCCAGCATCTGTGGATCAAACGCAGACACGTCCCTCCAGCCATCTGAGATGAAAAGGAGCTTTTATATTATAAAAAGCCATTAAAGATACAATGATGGTGACAGTGTTTCAGGGTGGAAAATTACTTAACATGATTTCAATTCGACTTGAAGGCATTTAGGTTCAAAGAGAAAGACTTGAAAGTGCACCTTGGCCCAAAACACAAAATCATTAACTTTCAATTACATATATATATTACTAAATCACCATGATTGTCATCCCAAGGCACTTTTCACAGTAAGGTAAATACCTTTCAGTTATGTTACCTCTATGACATAACTATTCTCTATGAGCAGAAGGAACCTTTTAACAGTAGGACGTCTCCGGTAGAAGCAGACTCTGGGAGGGCAGCCATCTGCCGTGACTGCTTAGAAAGACAAGACAGAAAAGAAGATCTTAGAGAGACAAGAAACAATACAACAATAAACGCTCGACGGGTTGCATCATAAGTACAGAACATGCAGTTCTCCATATACCTGCAGAAAGTGAAGGAGGAGAGAACACAGCACAAGCAGGAGGGAGACGATATATAGGTGCACCTTTGTAGCGACATTGCTAACAGTTTTCAGATTAAAGCGTGCTGTTTAAGGCAGCAGTGGCAGCTGTCACCTGTAGAGCTGGATGATTGTTCAAATACTTTGGGGACCGACACTGAACTCGGTCCATCACAGGGGAAATTTGCCTGCTGATTTTTTTATTTTATTTTTTGATGATGAAATTTCCTCAAGACAAAGTAATTTAAAATTCATTTAGAGTCAAAGCCAGCACAAGGTTCCTGAGCTGCTTTTTGTCCCTCACGAGTGCCATTAAACCTGCTTCTCACTGGGACTCAACCAGCTCCTCACATGGGCCATTAAAACCTGCATCGCCTCAACCAGCAGGCTCAGCTGGAGTCCCCTCAGTCCTTCTGAAAAATAACATTTTATTTTTATTTATGTTTATCTTTCCTGCAAAACTCAAAAGTGATTCATGATTTATTAAAAGCACCACAGAGAATAAACTGCTGATCGGTATTTATATGTTTGTTTTGTGGCTTTTTATGTTTGCGTTCTTTGTCTTTTTGTTTGTTTGTTTGTTTATAGTTCTTTGTTTTGAAGGAAAACTCTATTCACTGCCCAAGATAAGTGGGTCAACCCAGCACTGCATAAAAGAAACCATCTATGTGAGGCAGTATCGCGTATCCTCACTGGCTTTGTTTTATGTTACTTTACTGACCCTGTATTTAAATTCGGGTCCAAAAATGCAAATGATGATGCAGTTTCTGTAATTGTGCCTTTCCATGTCACAGCAGTGAGTTTTAAATCAAACAGTCAAGATGTGACTGAAGTATAGGCTTTCAGCTTCAATTCAAGGGGTTTAACAAAAGTATTGCATTAACTCTTGAGGAATTATAGACATACACAGTCCCCTGTTTTTCAGAGACTCTAAAGTAATTGGACAATTGACTGACAGCAGTTTCATGACCAATTGAGGTCTGTTGCCTTGTTATTCCATGACAAGTTAATCCAAACGTTGTATTTTGTAGCTGTTCACAGGAAATTTCGGAATGAGGTGCAGTGAGATGTTGATGCAAGCAGTGTTGCCAACTCCTCAGTAAGGAAAATCGCTATTGGCTGTCCTAAAAGTCGCTAGAAGTCGCTAAATGATGTCATTGCCTAATTTGCATAATTGGTCATGCTAATCTAATTGTAACCAACATTGTAGACGAGAAAAATAACATTGTGGAAGAGACATAAAGGGAGTAAAAAACGTCCTAAATGCATTTAGAATTTATTTAGAACTACAAATTAAATTTCTTTTAGCAATTATTGTTTTTTTTAATGTCACAATTCCAACCCTGATCCTCTATCCGGGCTTGGACCGGCAAAAGTGACCCGATATAGGCACTGTGGTGGAGTTACTTTGTGTGTGTGTGTGTGTTTATAAGTAGTTTTAAACCTTGTGATCCACAAAACAACATAACAGTAAAAGAAGTACTGACTGCGTTACAGTCAGTGTGGGAGCAGCGGCTTCGCTCATGCGCGATTCATTTGCAGTTTGGACGCATAGGTGAACATCTTCTGCCCTGATAGCAGCGGGGGAGGACTATCCTCCGCCTGTTAGCGCTTTGGCACGGGCGAGGTGCCCACGGCAGCACCGCTGCTTGTTGAGAGTAAGAGCGATACGCGCTTTCACGTCAAAAAGTCATCATAAATAAGTCTCCAATAATACCAGAAAAAGGCGCCAGATTTGTCGCTAGTCGCTTTTTAGGGAACAAAAATCGCTAAGGGGGTCTGAAAACTCACTAAATATAGCGACAAAGTCGCTAAGTTGGCAACACTGGATGCAAGTGAAGGAGAACATGTTTAGGCTCGGAAACCAAAGTAAACCCATCAGAGAGAGAGAGCAAAAGCTTTAGGAATGGACAGATTTTACTGGACTATTGTTGGTCTCAATCTTTTAACTTCAAATATTTACTGTTGTTAATTTTCATCTGGTCTTTAAGTCAGACGTCATCAGCCGTGTCTGGGCCCAAATTTTGCCGCAGAGTTAAAAAACTGTCTAAATTTTTTCATCTGTAACAAAATGATCAGTGTTTCTGCATTACCAGATGTAACAATTAAGTTTAACATCCAGGCATCCATGAAAACACAATTTATTAAATTTAACAGAGTTAGAAGTTAGCAGGAAGTTAGCTCGCTAGTTTCCACCTAAGCATGATATAGCATGTTCTGACTGAGAGATTTCTGAAACAATTCAAACGTACAGCTCTGCTATCACTTCCAACATAAATGAAGACAGAAAACTAAACAGCAGTGACGTTTGTAAGGTTACTGAAGTTGGGCTAGCTGGTATATAATGATGTGCTACGTGATCGCTAGCAACACAGCTATGTTAGCATAATATAAACACAGTGAAGCTGGAGGATGAACGCTAGCTTTTTTCCACTCAATAAAAGTTAACGTGAAGGTTCCCGATGGTTAGAGACAAATGCAATCGCATAGCAGGATGCTGTAAACCAGCGGTCCCCAACCTTTTTTGCGCCACGGACCAGTTTATGCCCGACATTATTTTCACGGACCGGCCTTAAGGTGTCGCAGATAAATACAACAAAATAAAACTAGTGCCGGTACCGAAAAAAAAGAAGATTTATTCATAACACACCTGAAAAGACCCAGGAAAACCGAGTTAACGATAAAAACGATGACAAAATAACGCTGAAAACCGATAAAAACCCTGAAAACCAGACATTTCAGACCTGAGCCTCAACTCTCACGGCCCGGTACCAAAGACTCACGGACCAGTACCGGTCCGAGGCCCGGGGGTTGGGGACCGCTGCTGTAAACGGACCAAACTTCAGCCAGGAGAACAACTGAGATAATCCATCCACAATACGAGGTTAGTCATTCATATACTGCTGCATGGGCTGGGCTGTAGTCACATTGTAAGGTTTTAAAAGCTGAGCTTTAAAATAAACAGTGGTAATAAAAACTGAGAGAGTCCGACAGTGATCACTGACTGTTTTTAGGAGCTTGTAGATTAAATAGAACAAGATGCAAAGCAATAAAACATGTTAAAAACACAACATCCTTATTAAACGCAGAGTAGTTTGGGCCCGGAAGCAGGATTCATCACGTCATCACTTAAAGACCGGATTACGATCTTTTCAAATTTGGATTAGTTTGATTGTTCTTACCTCTCAGCCATAAAAGGGTGATGGGGTATTGTCGTCACCCTGCTGGGCAGACACCTAACCATAATTATATCTGCTGAAAATCTAGACCTTGTATTCCAGTGATGTTGACCTCTAGGTCAGAGGTCAAGTTTTCCGAAACTCTTCTGAATGCAATAAGTAAAGAACGAGGTGTGTCTGTCTATCAGTGCGCATCATTAGCAGCCTGTTTATCTGCAGTGCATTCTCACAGTTAATGTCTTCGCCGACTGTTTGTGGACAAAACGCTGATTGCATTTATATTTTAACGGTACGTGGATCTGAACGCCCCCCAGGCCGCTTCAGATGATCTGAAATTCCACACTCGATGAAAGTGAACACTTCAACCCAACAAGAACAGAGTTCAGCGATCCAAGGTGCATGCTGATGTGTTGGAAAACTCGCCAGAATGCGCACAGAATTAAAAGTATTGAATGAATCAAGAAAAAAAATCTATTTTTAATTCTTACGTCTCCACCGCAAACATTCGCTGTAGCTTCTCTGTCTGTTTGTACCCCGTGCTCCAAAATGTCCCAGTGTGAGGGTCTATTCATAGCCGCATCTTTATCAGAGCGCAGCTGAGATACAACTGCACCTCTATGACACCACTGGCACAATTTTTTTTTACAACAGGAGGTGGAGGATTAAAGAAAGGACACATTTTGATCAATAACAAGAGCAGTGGAGAGTGCAAAAGATACAAAGACTCGCTGAGCACAGTTACCTTGAGAAAGCGAACAATACAGAAAACTAAGCTAAGACATTGGACAGATACTGGCCTTGGATTAAGTGTTTTATTAACTTTCCACGCAGGGCTTTACTGCCCTGTGAGCTAAATGAATTACATTCAGTAAGTAATAAGAATAACTTTGGGGGCCAATTTACTTAGTTTTTTATGCATGAATATAGTCAGTGTGGGAAGATTTGTATTACTACAACTGAGGGGCAGTTTGGCTTCCCAAACAGTGCCTGGAAATTCAGCGCCTGCAAGGAATCCATTATTAATGTTCAACCCTATCATTTTCCGGTACATGTAGTCATTTAACTCCAGGAACCAGAGGAAAAAACAAAAAGAACTCATTGCACCTGTGAATGTGTAGAGACGTTGTCTGCTGCATATTGGTACTGACCTTAAAATCCTGTTTAAAATATAGCACAACAAAAAAAGCAGCGAGAAGAAGAGTAGTGATAGATCAAGCCCACAGAGACAGATGGCTCCAGTAAGCAGAATTATAGTTTGATGAGGTAAAATCCATACTATATTATTGACCTGTGTTGACGTTCTCATAGACACTGATCTCATTGCAGGGCAGCTCGGATATTGATTGTCTGACTGGAAATCCCATTACGCACTCGCTCATTCAGTGCCATTTGAACTGCTGAAGGTACGATGGATATCCCTGCTCATCACAGAGAGTAGCGGCATGCCACCTCGCTGCACGCAGTCTTATAAAGAAAGTCGAGTTTTAAGGGTCTCTATGCTCGACATTTACTTGTTAGCAGCGCTTGTAACACTCATCGTGAAGCGAACGATGGGCTGGAAGTGAAGTGGTTTAGGCGAGGTTTTAAGGAGCGTGCGCGAATAGCCCAGGGCGTCTGTTGAAGAGCCAGAAATAGCTGAAGGGTTTGACCTAACGTAGCGCTTGTTGTTAAAGTCCAATGGAATCAATAGACACAAACTTTAAAGAAGGGGTGGAGCGGCTGAGTGGAGGAAGAGAACCGTTAGAGGAGTTTGGACGGAGGGAGGGCGAGTTGAAGGCAGGAGTAAGAGTTAAGCAGAGAGAGTGAGAAAGGAGTGATGGTCAAAGACAGCACAGGACCTTGGAGGCAGTGTAAACAAATAAACACATAATCTTTCTTTTCAGGCTCGCTCTTTACTTTCTCCAACACACACACACACACACACACACACACACACACACACACACACACACACACACACACACACACTGTCAGAAATACCGATCAAATTCACCATTTCTTTGTTTGCCCTCTGGAGAAGACTTTGAACAGAGCAGATTCTTCTTGTACACCCTGACCTCCAGCTTCCTTGCTCACCTCCCCGTGGAGCTCACTCCAGCCACCTCTTCATACACACACACACACACACACACACACACACACACACACACACACACACACACTTGCTTCTCAGCAGAGGGGAGCAGGAGAGACATAAACACATAAAGGCATAAACTCCACCGTCATAAACTAAGCAGTAACACACCTCTTATATTTCCAGATTATTTGCTTCAGTCTATAGAGGTTGTATTTTCTCTTCGTATAGGCCTGTGCCATAATGCGAAGGATATTGATTCATGCGGTGGAGCACAGCAATCTCACGTCAGCTTAGGATCACATTTCTTTGTGTGCTTTGTCACATCTTTTCTTTTGTGCTGTGGGAAAAAGAAATGCTTAATGAAGCGTTGGTTAGCCTGCACAAATGTACGTGTAACTCAGTGAAACTGGATTTCTAGTCGTTCATTAACCGCTCACTGTTTAAAAGCCTTAAAGCCTCTGAAAATGTGGGGGTTGGAAAAAGAGGCAGTACACTGTGAGTAACCATAACAAGCAAATTTCTTTTTCAAGGTCATCTCCTTCTGTAACGCTGGACCCCGTTTAGCTCTCTTACTACACTTGGATCACTTGCAGTCCAATGCACTGCCAATTTCAGCATGGTCCTCTAACGTGTGCAGAGAAATCATCTGACAGACGATCATCACAGGCGATGGGAGCTGGTCCCAGCACAAAGTTTAGGACTGTGCTCAAGGTTGTTTTCTTTTTGTATTTCACAGGTTTGTGCAACATGAATTTGTCTTTCAGGCTCAATCTGTCAACATTCATTCACCAGCTATTTAATTTTGTATCTATATATATATAATCCACCCATTTCATGGTAGCAACACAATGCAATTTAGCATCTAGGCAACAAGGTTAAACTGAGTATCAGAATGAGGGGAAAAAGATGACTTAGGC